AAAATCATAGAATCCTAGAGTTAGAAAAGACCCCAAGGGCCATCCAGCAAGATCACACAATCAGAGCATCCCCAACAGATGGCCATCCAGCCTCTGCTTAAAAACCTCCAGGTAAGAAGACTCCATCACTCTCTGAGGCATCACATTCCACTGCGTCAGAGCGTCCAAGTATCCATGCCAATAAATTTAAAAGCCTCCCACCTCCCTTATTTCATCTCTGTCACCTCCATGCAAAGTAGATCAATAGAAATTAGTACAAATGAACATGAGCCAGTACAAAATAAAGCTCTCTGCATTTCCTAAAGTGACAAATATTGTGGAGATACTAACTGTACCCTCCCACAGATCCTGTACGTAATACTGTGGGGCAGATGCCAAATTACAGCAGAGCCTCTTCCCTTGGGCCTTGAGTGGACATTTCAGGCAAAAGCTCCCAAGATTTCCAAACTTGGTCCAGGCAGCCTGGTCTGCCAGCCAACCACAACAGTTCCAAGATTTATGAGTCAGTGTCACCCACTTTGCATTCCTAAACAGTGAGCAGTAAATTCCTGCTGGAGTTTGCAGCCTACACCAGACTGAGTCCTGATGCAAATAACACGAGCTTCTGTGCATTCAGTCTTTGGAATGCTCCAAAGCTGCTTACGGATGCCAACCAGACATTTAAGGGTAATAAATTTTCTTAAACAACAGTGGCTCTTGTGCCCCAGTAATGGTATTTCTACCTTTTTCCAATCCAGGGCTTTGCTAGCAGTCCTGTCTAAGCCGAAGCAAGACAAATAGGGCCAGAACAGAGTTCTGGAGCATCACTCGGTGCCTAATGTCGATTAATTACAGGATGCTTGGGAGGAGAAGGGAGAGTATCATTTTGGAACTGATTTTTTGAAGCCAGAATCCAGATGCTTAACAGCTGAGAACAGCTGCTGGGGAAAAGCAACCTTCCAAGGACAAATTGGGGGGAAGAGAGAATGCTTCATGATTAGAGTCAGAGAGTGAGATGAGCTGCATTCATTGTTGCTTTGTGGAAGAAGGGGGCAAAACCTCCCTCTCTATGGCTGTGACAGCCTTCAGCAATAGTCACAGGACTAACCTACGTTGCAGTGTTCCTAGCCCTATAGATTTAAGGCTGCTGCACCATTCAGCCAAGGTGGATGGTGACCCAATATCAGATGTTGTTTTTGCACTGGTGCAGACTGTAGAAAAATGTTTGTCCAAGTGATTTTTCTGGCCAGTTTGCAATCCATAAATTGTCAGCATGGCAGCTCCAGGGCATGCAGGACTGGAGTATAGATTAGAGTAGCAATGGTGTGGACACATTATAAGCTTTTCAGGGATTGGAGAGGACAACACAGACTTCATTGGGATTCCTAAAATAAGTGATCTGAGTACTTCAATTTCAGAAAAGACATTGTCCTAAACCACCCTGGTCCTCTACAGATGTGTTGGATTACAACTCCCATAATTGCCCCAAAAGTATGGCCAACCGTTATGGGCATTGCGGTCCAAGGATGGAAGTTCTTTACCATCTAATCTGGATAGAACCTCACCCAAAACAATTCCAGCTAATTACAGTTTGAATTCATTCTAACTAATATTCTGAAATAGACATTCTAGAGCTATATAATATAAAATATTTCCAAGCAAAAACATAGTGTATGCCATACCAATGGGTAACAAAGAGCTGTACCTCATATGTGTGTGTATGTTCTCAAGTCACCTGTCAACTCATGACAACTCATGAATTCAACAGGGTTATCTTAGCCAAGAAAAACTTTGAGGTAGTTTTGACAAGAACTGGTATTTGTTGGTGGTCCTCCCACCCAAGTACTAACCCAGACATGATCTGGTCACTTTAGGGTATTTATGCATGTAGATTTTATACTATAATCGTATCGTAACCCCTGCTGATTTCTTATGCTGAGGTTCTCCTAGGTAGTTTTTTTTTTTTTTTTGAGAAAACAAAAGATCTTAATCCATGTGTTGGTGACAAAACAGAGCTTCAACACAGCTTTTTTGTTCCAAGACAGTTTTTAGCCTCAAAGGATGTGTCTGCTTGTGCATTATAGAGACAAAGATGCGAAACACACTTTGGAGCATATGTTGCAAGAACACACAGTGCAACAGAAGCTGCCCAGCTCCACAATCAGCAAATATTGAGAAAATAAGCTGGATATCAGACTCTGGCATAGTGTGGCAAATGCCAAAGCCCAGCAGAATTGGCACTGGCCTGAATTTTTTTTAAAGGTCTCATGTTGTCAAGAAAAAGGTTAGGTTATGGAGTTGCTGCTTCCTTAATCCTAATTAATCCTAGAGCCGTTGGGCTTCATCTTTGCATTATATTACACACTTTGGGGCAGAGAGTGCCACTACTGAACAGCTTTCCTAACTGTGAGAGCTGTTCAGCAGTGGAACTCTTTTCCCTGGAGCGTAGTGGAGACTTTTAAACCAAGGCTGAATGGCCATTTGTCGGGGGTGCTTTGAATGCAATTTTCCTGCTTCTTGACAGGGAGTTGGACTGGATGGCCCATGAGGTCTCTTCCGACTCAAAGGACAGGAACTACCGGAGGGCCTTGATTATTTTATTAGGTGTGTTGAACTTCCAAACATATCCCAAGGAGGCACTAAATTATATCTTATAGTTAAAAAAATTTCAACATTCTGGAGCAATGCAATTGCACATCCAGAGAATCTCGTTTTGGTCTTTTTTATAAAGCAGAGCTGGCCAACAGCCTCCAACTTGCTAGTTCACAGAGACATTGCTTAAATTTGACAAGGCACACCACCACATTTCAGAGGCAAAGTGGGACTTCCCTTTTTAAAATAAGCAGCATGTGCTCATTTCAAAGGACATTAAAATGGCAAGGAGTATTGCAGGTTTGCTGAACAAATCCGGTTTTAACAATGTAAAACAGTGACCTTGGTGGTGCAGTGGATTAAACTGCTGAGCTGCTGAACTTACTGAACAAAAGAGCAGCAGTTCAAATTCAGGGAATGGGGTGAGCTCCCACTGTTAGTTCCAGCTTCTGCCAACCTAGCATGCAAATGTGAATAGATCAATATGGTGGGAAAGAAACAGTGCTCCGTGCAATCATGCTGGCCACATGACCTTGGAGGAGTCTATGGACAATGTCGGCTCTTTGGCTTAGAAATGGAGATGAGCACCAGAGTTTGGGAAACATTTAATTTCACCTTTACTAAGAAAGTGACACATTTTGGAAATGTGGTAGAGAGGTGATCCATACTGGCTTTAGGTGGGAAGGTTGCTCACCCTGCAATAAAGTTCCTAAAAGTTGCAGGGACCTACTTGAAATCTTAAAAACAAGAATGAGGAGAAATTGTTTCTTCTTACCCCGAGCAACTCCTCCTTCAGCAGAGGTGGGTCTGCAATCCACTTACATGTATTTTGCCTTCCCCATGACAGGCAAGCTTAGGAAATAAACTATGATTTGTAAAGCGGAACATAGGATGTAAGAATCTAATTTCTTGGTGCACAATTTTCATTTTTTTTAATAGTTCTGACAGCACAATAGATACAGCCCTGATCACAGCCAGGATAACAGACTTCATATTTCACTAAACAATTTCAATGGTTCCAAGCTTCCTTTTGGCAATTATCCTCCCAATATCTTAGCAGGACCCTGACTGTACCCTTCTCTATATGCTGCTTTTGTAGGCTATGCTGTGTCTTCCCTACTACCATGTTTTTTGTTACTCACCATGAGAGAATGCAAGCTTAGCTCACTCTTCGGAGTAGCTACTAAATAAGTTGAAATGTGAAATGTATTGGACCAGAGTGCTCTTGTGTTTTTGAATGTTTTCATGGCCAGAATCACTGGATTGCTGTGAATTTTCTGGGCTGTATGGCCATGTTACAGAAGTATTCTCTCCTGATGTTTCACCCACATCTATGGCAGGCATCCTCAGAGGCTGTGAGGTATATTGGAAATTAAGCAAGGGAAGTTTATATATCTGTGGAATGTCCAGGGTGGGAGAAAAACTCTTGTCTGTTGGAGGCAAGTGTGAATGTTGCACTTGATCACTTTGATTGGCATTACAAAGCTTTGCAGCTTCAAGGCCTGGCTGATTCCTGCCTGGAGGAATCCTTTGTTGGAAGGTATTAGCTGGCCATGATTATTTCATGTCTGGAATTCCTCTATTTTCAAAGTGTTGTTCTTTCTTTACTGTCCTGATACTAGAGTTTTTAAAACTGGTAGCCAGATTTTGTTCATTTTCATGGCTTCCTCCTTTCTGTTGAAATTGTCCACATGCTTGTGGATTTCAATGGCTTCTCTGTGTAGTTTGACATGGTTGTTGTTTGAGTAGTCCAGCTCAGATAATATGCTGTGGCCAGGTTGGTTCATCAAAAGTGGTCTTGGACTGCAATTCCCATCAGTGATAAGCAGCATGGTCAATAGAGACGGATGATGGGGGGTGCAGTCTACGAACACCTGGAGCAGTATAAATTGTTCACTTTATGAATGATAGATTGAACGTACGGCTTTCATGCTACCTGCTGGTTGAAAAGATAGGAAACTTTTGGGAGAAGAGCTGTAACAGGATCTCCCAAATAGTGCTTCCCAACATGAAATCCCAAGATATCTTTGAAACATATTTTTCATCTGTTAGTGCATGTGCAAGACAGCAAAAACAGCTTGACTCTGGTGAGACCGTCTTTGAGAAATGGTTATAGACCGAGGCAGAACTGTTGCATAACCTCTCCAGCAGAGTTCAGCATGAATCCCAATTTCAGTATAATGCTCATGTACCAAGAAGCTCAAGAAAGGGCTTGTTCAGTCCCACAGGATTTTCTAAAGCAGTGGTTCTCAACCTGTGGATCCTCAGATGTTTTGGTCTTCAACTCCCAGAAATCCTAACAGCTGATAAACTGGCTGGGATTTCTGGAAGTTGTAGGCCAAAAACACCTGGGGACCCACAGGTTGAGAACCACTGTTCTAATGCCAGCCTGGAATGAAAGATGGAGAGGGCCAAGCAACAGAAGAACCTTCTCTCAGAAGACCTGGAAAATTAACTTTATTGGGATGGAGGATGGCCCCACAGCAGCATGTATGCCAAGCACACAGAAGGATATGGGCTCAGTCCTTCCTATCTTCACAAAGAAATAGAATCCAGGGAGCAGTTATGGCAGTGGTTCTCAACCTTCCTAATGCCACGACCCCTTAATACAGTTCCTCATGTTGTTGTGACTCCCAACCATAAAATTATTTTAGTTGCTACTTCATAACTGTGAATTTGCAGGATGTATTTTGCATCCTGATATGCAGGATGTAATTTCATTCACTGGACCAAATTTGCATACTGGTGGGGTGGCGGAGGGAGATAGATTTTGTCATTCAGGAGTTGTCGTTGCTGGGATTTATAGTTAACCTACAATAAAAAAGCAGTTTGAACTCCACCAACAATGGAATTGAACCAAACTTGGTACAAAGAACTCCCATGACCAACAGGAAATACTGGAAGGGTCTAGTGGACATTCACCTCAAGTTTGGGAGTTGTGGTTCGCCTACATCCAGAGAACAATGTGGACTCAAATTATGATGGATCTGGACCAGACTTGGCACGAATACTCAATATGCCCAAATGTGAACACTGGTGTAATTTGGGGAAAACAGACCTTGGCATTTGGGAGTTTTAGTTGCTGGGATTTATAGTTCACCTACAATCAAATTGCATTCTGAACCCCACCAATGAGAGAATTGGCCCAAACTTCCCACACACACAGAACCCTCATGACCAACAGATAATACTGTTTTTTCTGATGGTCTTTGGTGACCCCTCTGACACACCCTCATGACCCCCCCCCCAGGGATCCCAACCCCCAGGTTGAGAAACACTGAGTTATGGGAAAGATCTCTTGATGCCCAAGATCTTGGACAACCATGGCCAGTGAAAGTTTCAAATATCTGGGTTTGAAGGACAAATAGAGCCAGACCAGGTAGAAAGCAGTTTCCTATTTTCCTCCCAACATACATGCAACTATCAAATATTTTGCAGCTGTTTGGAGCACGTTTTCCTGCATCTCTAAAGCCAGATAATTCTTTCAGCTCTATGCAGGTGCTGCAATCTTGCCTTTTATTCAGCTCTGGAGTTTTGCCCAAGCCATTCAAGCACGCATTCTGGACTGATTGGCCATGTTGCCCATGCCACCAACAGCAATTTCTCTCTTCTGTTTAAATTATTATTTTATAAAAACACACATACAGACACACATTTTTAAAAAATCCAAACGAGCAGATCACTTGGTTCTCTTACAACTTTGGAAGTCCTGGATTCTAATGCTTTTAAAACAAGAACAACAGTCCACCATTTCATCCTAAAAACCATGCTCCTCTTATTCGCCCTTTTATAGCAGCAGCCGGATCCACAGGCACACAATGAAGAAAAATCCAACAGCGTCCCTTATTGCTTTGTAACAGTTCATAACGAAGGCAGCCTTGAAGTGCAGCAGAAGGAAGTCTGAGCCAGAGCCACTCATTCACTGGTGAGCGAGAGAAGCACCATGACAAGAATGCCGGTACACAGGAGGAGGACTTGTTGCACCGAATTCCTAGGCAAAGCAAGGACAGATCAAGAGAAAAGGATGAACTCCAGACAAGACATGACATGTTTGCATTGCTTTTTTTGCCCCAGCCAAGACACCCAAAGGAGCAATTTCTTCAGTCTTTTCCAAGCTCATGGGAAGTCAAGGTCACAAAAGAAGAACCCTTTCCTTCAAATGTCTCCCTATCGGGTAATTGGGAAACCCTTTTTCCACTCAACCCAAGTCTACTACCCCACACTAGAGGCACACACCTGACTAGCTGGGTACTCCATGGTTATACACCCCAGCCATCACACTGCCAGCAAAAACTCGGGGCTCCATCCACATAATTCCAACTATGGCTTGAACCCAGATTCAGTATTTCTAGTTGGAAAACCTTGTTTGAAGACTGTTTGGAGACTTCAACTAGTCCAACAAGCAGCAGCCAGATTACTCACTGGAGCGCCATACAGGGAGCATACCACCCCCTTGCTAAAAACTTGTGCGCCAACTGCGACCGTACCTTGGGAAGTCTGACTTGGCCACGGTAGTCCACGCTCTGGTTACATCCCGCCTTGACTACTGCAACACTCTCTACGTGGGGTTGCCTTTGAAGACAGTCCGGAAGCTCCAATTAGTCCAACGGGCGGCAGCCATGATACTAACAGGAGCGGGGCGCAGGGAGCACACAACTCCTCTGTTGCACCAGCTCCACTGGCTGCCGATATGCTACCGGGCTCAATTCAAAGTGCTGGCGTTGGCCTTTAAAGCCCTAAACGGTTCTGGCCCAACTTATCTATCCGAACGTATCTCAGCCTATCAGCCCACCAGGACCCTAAGATCTTCTGGAGAGTCCCTGCTCTCTGTCCCTCCGGCCTCAGAAGTGCGGCTGGCGGGAACGAGAGACAGGGCCTTCTCTGTGGTGGCCCCTCGGCTTTGGAACACCCTCCCTATAGAGGTACGATCAGCCTCTTTGCTGATGGTCTTTCGGAAGAGATTGAAAACATGATTGTTTAGACAAGCTTTCGATTAACCCGTTGCAACCGAAGTGTGTTGACCAAAGGACAGGTAACCATGGACGACGAATTTTTGGATTGCGTTTTTAGTTCGAGATGCATGGAATTATTATTGGTGGCCCAATAATTTTGTATTGTATTTGTTGATTGTATGTTTTGAATTGATGATTGTTTTTAATTGTTGTAAACCGCAATGAGTCGCCGATTTAGGCTGAGATATTAGCGGTATACAAGTGTATAAATAAATAAATAAATAAATAAATATTGCTGCATCAGCTCCACTGGCTGCTGGTCCACCTCCGAGCACAATTCAAAGTGCTGCTCTTGGCCTATAAAACCCTATACGGCTCCGGCCCAGCTTATCCAAACGTATCTCTCTCTACGTTCCACCTCGTAATTTAAGATCTACTGGGGAGGCCCTGCTCTCGGTCCCACCAGCGTCTCAAATGCGTCTGGTGGGGACAAGGGACAGGGCTTTCTCGGTGGTGACCCCCCGCTTATGGAATTCGCTCCCTAGCGAGATTAGATCGGCGTCCTCCCTCCTTACTTTTAGGAAAAAACTAAAGACGTGGTTTTGGTGCCAGGCCTTTGGCTAGTGGGCACAACAGCACTTTAGGCACTGAACTTGGACAATAGGATTATTTGAAAATTGGAAATGGCTTTATGACCTGTGATTATGTGATCTGTTCTATGTGGTTATGTAATTTTAATTAATATCACTGCTTAATTGTTATGTAATGGATTTTATATTGCTGTTTTATATTGTTGTTTTGATACTGTTGGCATTGAATAGTTGCCTGTGTTAGACGCCCTGAGTCCCCCTTCGGGGGTGAGAAGGGCGGGGTAGAAATGGTCTAAATAAATAAATAAATAGTTTGTTGCTATGTTTTGAAGCAAATTTTGCATCTTTGCTAATTGGGATAGAGTCCTAATATAGTGAAGCCTTTGTACCTGCGGGGCCAGTATAAAAGGTAAAGGTTTTCCCTTGACATTATGTCTACTCTTGTCTGACTCTGGGGGATGGTGCTCATCTCCGTTTCTAAGCCGAGGAGTTGGCATTGTCTGTAGACACCTCCAAGGGTCATGTGGCCAGCATCACTGAATGGCGTGACGTCACCTTCCCGCAGAAGTGGTACCTATTGATCTATTCACATTTGCATGTTTTCAAACTGCTAGGTTAGCAGAAGCTGGGGCTGTGGGAGCTCACCCTGCTCCCTGGATTCAAACCGCTGACCTTTCAGTCAGCAAGTTCAGCAGCTCAGTGGTTTAATCCACTGCAACACTGTGGCCCACTATATTCAGTTTAATTTATACATATCTAATGAAATATATTCTCTCTAAGCCCTCCAGGATGAATCTATGATATTCTTGAACTGGAAGTCTTTTATTTCATTATGGTTCACTATTATCCACAGTTTTACATATCCACGCAAAGTGTAGGAACATATTCCCCATGTATACATGGGCTGTACTGTATAAAGATGTTTACTGAATGTTGCGTGTGGCAAACAGATGATTGCAGTATGATAAAACAGCAAAGGGAACAGAAATATACATCTCTCTCGGATCTATCATACGTCCACTGCAGCTTTCTGAAATATAAGACAACTGTCTGAAATCTGGGTTACCTGGCAGCGCAGCGGATTAAACCACTGAACTGCTGAACTTGCTGAGCGAAAGGTTGGTGGTTTGAATCCGGGGAGTGGGGTTAGTTCCTACTGTTAGTCCCAACTTCTGCCGACTTAGCAGTTCAAAATCATGCAAATGTGAATAGATCAATAGACACTGCTTTGGCGGGAAGGTAATGGTGCTCCATGCAATCATGTCGGCCACATGACCTTGGAGGTGTCTATGAACAACACCGGCCCTTTGGCTTAGAAATTGAAATGAGCACCCCCCCACCCCCAGAGTCGGACATGACTAGACTTAATGTCAGACGAAAATTTTACCTTTATATTCTCAATTCTTTGAACTTCCATGAATTAATTGCCTTTTCTAAGCTGAAAAGCATGCATCTGATGCAGTGGGTTCTGACCCACTTCATCACTTACCAAGGGACACTTACCAAGGATTCTTCTCCTCTAAGAGATCAGGCACAACATTTACCAAAGCAATGTATAAAAATCCCCCAGAGGTAAATGGGAGAATCCAAGCGATGGTTTCCCCTGGAGGAAGAGTGAGAAAAACATATATTACCAAGAGGTGGCAGGAGAGAACTACAAGAGGCCAGCTGCGAGAACTCCCTTTTCATCCTGACCCTGAACAGAAAAGTCAGAAGTTGGCTAAAAGGGTAAAAAATAGAGCTATGGTAAAAGAAAAGTATTCCAAACCAAGGAAAATCGGAAGCTACAAAGTTCTTAGGAATTTCAAAGAATCATAGAATAATATAGCTGGAAGAGACCACGTGGGTCATCTAGAGCAACACCCTGCCATGCAAGAAAAGTAGATTAAAGATTACCAGAACATTCTGACTCAACAAACCAGCTCTGTCTGCCAATAACATTAACAATCTGAAATGAAAAGGTCCAACATGAGGAATTTTTTACTTGGAATATGCTGTTGCTAGGTAATTTCCCCCAAAACTGTTATAAATGAATGGCATGTTTGCTTTGGTGCCAGATTTCTCAGTTGGAAATCTGACAGCTGGACCAGCACTGTGTTGTTAAATAAATTCCTGTCTCCAATTCACTATGCCTTCATTCATGAACACAAAACTCAACAAGTTTCCTTTTTAGATCCTTACCTGTCCCTTTTGGTGACTGAGCACAAATTGCAAAGCAAGCTCCCAGAACTCCCCCAAGGGCTGTGGAGAGCTGCAACTTGGCAGCACTCCAGCGATCAAATCCAGCACGAAGGAGGATGGCAAAATCCCCAACCTATAGAGATGCCAAAAAAGAGAGTTCTCTGGTAAAGCATTACACTGGCTATAATAATAATAATAATAATAATAATAATAATAATAATAATAAATCATCTCAGGAAAATTGCATTTATAGCAACCCTGACAGATGATCATCCAGCCTCTACTTAAATGCATCCAAAGAAGGAGCCTCCACTACACTCTGGGGCAGAGAGTTCCACTGCTGAACAGCTCTCACAGTCAGGAAGTTCTCCCTCATGTTCAGGTGGACTTTCCTGTAGTTTGAAGGCATTGGTCCATGTCATAGTCTCCAGGGCGGCAAAAAATAAGCCTTCTCTCTCCCTCTGACATCCCCTCACATATTAATACATGGTCCTCATTATGTCTCCTGTCAGCCTTCTCTTCTGCAGGCTAAACATGCACAGCTCTTTAAGCCGCTCCTCATAGGGCTTGTTCTCCAGACCCTTGATCCTTTTAGTCGCCCTCCTCTGGACATATTCCAGCTTGTCAACATCTCCCTTCAATTGTGGTGTCCAGAAATGGACACAGTATTCCAGTATGACCAAGGCAGAATAGAGGGAACCTTACTGTATAAAGACTTTGTTTCTACCATGATAGGTCTTCATAGAGTGATTGTTGGGATGCAAGATTCAAAAGACTGAGAGTCTCCGGTCTGGATTAAGTCTTATGTATGTGTGTGGTTTTAATTGAATTATCATCACCAACTGCAATATTCCAAATTAATGGGAAAACTCTTCATTCTGCCAAAACATTCTGTCTTGACTTCAGCATGGCCACTCTTGAACCAAAGAAGTTCAACCACAGATTCCAGTGTGAGAGATTTACTGTTATCTCTGTTAGCTTGACCAGGGAAAAAAGGCTTTTTATCTTAGCAAATGTGTTTATCAGTGCACAATTATCACACCATTGTTTGCTAATGACCACTGTTAGGCCATTTTCACTGCTTGAACTTTGCCCTTTTATATTCCCTTTAGTCATTCTCATATAGAATTCTCATATATAAGAGAACAGAGGTCAGCAACCCTGGTGGAATGGGGGTCAATTTGTGTCCCCAGATCCTCAGGGCTAAATGCACTGGGAAAAATATGGAAGCAAAAACCCAGAAAGTTTAGTTTGGTTGTTAAAAACATTTTTAAAAAATCAAGTAACATTGGGTAAAGCAGGTTCTTATTAAAAAGGTGAATAGTAATCCCTGGAACTGCTTGTTTGGAAATTCCAAGGGAAATTCCAAGGGAATATAATTTGCCATTTTTCAGTGGACAAAAGATAGGGAAAGTTAATAAAGGTAAAGGTAAAGGTTTCCCTTGGCATGAAGTCTTGTCGTGTCCAACCCTGGAGGGTGGTGCTCATCTCCATTTCGAAGCCAAAAAGCTGGCTTTCTCCATAGGCACCTCCAAGGTCATGTGGCCAGAATGACTGCATGAAGCACCGTTACCTTCCCGCCAAGGCGATACCTATTAATATACTCACATTTGCATATTTTTGAACTGCTAGGTTGGCAGAAGCTGGTGCTAACAATGGGAGCTCACCTTGCTCTCCGGATTCGATCCATCAACCTTTTGGTCAGCCAGTTAAGAAGCTCCACGGTTTATCCTGCTGCGCCACTGGGGGCTTCAGGGAAAGTTAGGGGTCACAAATAGCCTTAGAGACTAGGGGTGGCCTCAGGGGCACATTTTGTCCCTTCCTGATTGAGAGCTTAAACTCTGTCTCTTGAAACTTGAATTCAGTGAAGTCTTTTCAGCACCAGAAATGTGATATCCATTCTAGGATGTTTGTTCTACCTCTTAATGATCGCTTTATTAGTATCTTAAGAATGCTTGCTTAACAATCTGTCCCTTACAGTCATATTGTTAGAATCATTTGTCCATTTCACAGTCTACTAAGTGTGACTGATTGAATTCTTGGACCATGAATGATTGGATTCTAGCCAAGAACCTGGAAATCAGTGATGTATGTGAATTATACCCTACTTTCCCCACATAATTGAGACCCACATTTTAATTCCACCCACTCAAGCATTTATATAAATACTAGCTGTCCCTGCCACGCGTTGCTGTGGCCCAGTCTGTGCTTATGTGTTTTGTGTGTGTATATAAGTGTATGTGTGTGTATATATATTTATGTATATGTGTATATATGTGGTTTTGCGCTTGCGTTGTAATGTATTTTTATTTTTGGCTTTTTAAGTCCCTTCCGCTGTGTTTTTCAGTGTTTTTATGAGTGATGGTTACTCGTTGGCTTGATAGGTGTATTGTGTTCAAATTTGGTGTCAATTCGTTCAGTGGTTTTTGAGTTATGTTAATCCCACAAACCAACATTACATTTTTATTTATATAGATTATCAAGTAAGATATTATTCCATACATCTCATGAAGGGCTCTGAAGTCACCAAAGCTTACACCACAGAAAGCCCGTAAGGTGTCACTAGAGTTTAATGCTGTTTTTTGCTGCAACAAACTAACTTGACCTCTCCTCCCAAATAAATATATTTGTTCCCATTTATCCATTTCTTCTTCCTATCTGCTACTGTCAGCGTTCAAACTGTAGAATCCTTGAGGGCAGAGGTTTTTATTGTTCGAGCTTATGTTGCTCTGCAGAGTTCCTGTAGTTATTTTTGTTGCTAAGTGTATGAGTCAATGCTTTCCTTTCCACCTCCCAAACAGAGAGCTGTTCAACTTTCCAGGAAGTATGTGACAGACTCTACTCACCTCATGGGGTATTTCATGCAGGAGAATCGCCATGGTAGTCAGAAGTCCAACCTACAGCCCATAAAAGAAACATGTAGAACAGTCCATGAAGTTAAACAGGGCTTGAAGCTTCCTAAGGCTTCTTCTTTTTGCATATGACTATACACAGTTGGGCAAAGTATGCCGCTGCAGATATGGCTGGACTGGAAGTCCTAGCATCCCTCAGAACTGGGTACACTGCCTAGGGATGATACAGTCCAAAACATCTGGAAAGTGATGCACTGTCCATCTCTGAACAAAAAGGGATGCTTAGCAGAACAGTTTTCATGTCCAAAGTGCTTAAAATAGCTGGAGCCTCACAGCCACTAGCTGACGCATCAATTGTAATGGGGCCTTTAGTGCTTGGATTTAAGGAAGATTATGGGAACAGGATGAAACGATTCCCTACACCGTACTCTGATCTTCTGCTAAAGACTGAAAACATTTTTTTTCAAAACCTCAGGAACACAGCAGAAATTCCTGTGTGCTTCTCACATCAGTCTCTCTCATCTCACCATCACAATGGATTCAGACAGACCCCATCAAAAGGGAACTTACCTTTCTACTAACCAGAAAGCTGGCTGCCACTGCTAGGCCGTGAGTGAAGTTGTCTATTGTGTTGGCCAAGAGATTGAGGTATCCACTGATCTACATGGAGGTGGGAAGAAGATCAAGAGAACTTCAGGGACTCCAATGAACAAGAGATGGATGATTGTACCGGAGACCAGGGACAAAGGCTATTTTCACAAAGAAATCTTGAAATCCATCAGTCAAGCAGACTGGGCTAGACAGACCAGTACTATTATGGCCTATCACTGTGAGATCATAGAATGGTAACAAGGCTGAATTTTGGGTGGGTCAGTGGGATAGATGAGACCACTGCCTGTTTTTTCAAGGTCTTGAACACCCTTTGGTGTGTCCCTCCGCCCCTTGAGAAATGTCACCTTTCCCCATATAACTACCACCTCCCCTCCCAAACAATGCCCATCATCAAAGCCCTTTACCTTGATTTTGGGGGCTGATGGTAAAGATTCATGAGAAGAACCATTGCACTGAGCTGGGCCTGGCTTCTTTCTCTGGATTGGATTGGCTGCCTCCTGCACAGACAGGCTGCTCCCATTTGGAATCTTTTTGGTGGGAACTTGGGCGTCATTGACCTAAATCACAGAAAAGGGGTGATTTTTTAAATGGTCATGAAAACAGCAGCCACTTTGTGGTGCTTTTATTGCATAGGGGTATGAAAAAGATATTAGGAGGCCTGTAGGGTTGATCTGGTGGACACCGAGGGCCATTTGAACTGGATTTGGGACTACATGAAGCCTGAGTCCCCCAACTTTCCCCATTCTTGTGACAAGGTATTTCTTAGAATATAATATAAACAGCCCTCCTCTCACATAACAAGTCTATTCCATTCCTCTGAACCATTACATAATCTACTGGAAGAGAACACAGGTTCTGTGTGAATTTCCACAAACCATGCATCATACCCAAACCACACACTCATTTTGTAGCCCACTCACCAGGCTGGACTCTCCTTCCTTTTCACTATCTGGGAACATCTTCTGCAGACTCAGGAAGGTCAGCAAGCCAACAATCACCCAGAGCCCTAGAAGTTTCTGCTGCTGGAAGCTCTGCCCTCCTCCTTGGTGAGGAAAAAAGAAAGAAATCAGAGTACAAACAACTCTGGGATCACAAGAATCATTACTATCTCCCATAGCATAAAATACACACAGAGGAAACAGAAATAAAGGATGGTGCTTTATGTTGAGTAAGCCCTTTGGTCAGGTGTCCCCAAACGAAGACCCTCCAAGGTCATTTACCCAGCCCTCTCCCTAAACTTTAGACTTAGGGTCACCTTAAGTCTGAAACGTCTTGGAGGCACAAAACAACTAATTATCCTAATTATCTCATTAGCCAATAGCAGACCCACAATTCCCATGGAAATACTGGTAAGTTTATGTTGGTTAAATATTGTATTGTTCTTTCATGCTTTTTTGCACTACAAATAAAATATGTGCATAGGAATCTTTTCATTTTTTTTGTAAACTATAGTCTGCCTCTCCAACAGTCTGTGGGACTGTGATCCGGCCCTCAGCTTAAAAAGTTTGAGGACCCCTGCCTTTGGTCATCTAGCCCAGCAAGGCTGAACTGATGGCAATGGCTCTCCTGGGTTTCAGGGAAGATTCTTTCCTAGCCTGACATGGCGATCCAACAACCTAGTATTCTCATTCAAGCATTCAAAGTCCAATCCTGCTCAGCTTCTGTAATCAGACAAGGCAGGATAATTTTAGCAGCCTATGGTGGTGTGCCAGCTCCAAAGCACTCAGGGATTGGCACATCTAAGTACAATGATAAACTCATTCAGAATCTTGAAACAGTTCTCCAACAACTCTTCAAGCTTTAAATATTTATTTATTTTATTTATGTACTGTATTTTTACCCCGCTCTATTTCAACCCCAAAGGGGACTCAAGTGGCTTCCAAATTGGCAGTAATTCAATGCAACATAACAACATAAAACATACAAAATACATATAAATCCATTTAAATAAGCTGTTTAAAACATTGTACATTATCCTGAAATCATAGTCCAAAAGCCATTCCAATCATTTTGACTTTGTATCTGCATATTGCACTACAACTACTCCACAAATGCTTGGTTCCATAGCCAAGTGTTAACTTCCTTTCTAAAGGACAGTAGGGAAGAAGTTGATCCAATGTTCCTGGGAAGGGCTGACGGCCTCCACTGAGCCAAGGGCCTCCACTGAGACGACCCTGTCCCTCATTCCCACCAGCCGCACCGCAGGTTCGAACTCGGGGAGAGCGTGGATGAGCTCCCTCTGTTAGCTCTGATCCACATGCGGGGACAAGAAAGAAGCCTCTCACAAGGATGGTAAAACATCAAAACATCCAGGCATCCCCTGGGCAACGTCCTTGCAGAGGGCCAATTCTCTCACACCAGAAGCAACTTAAAGTTTCTCAAGTTGCTCCTGACACACAAAAAACCAAACAAAGTCCAGCAGCACCTGCAAAGGAGGCGGGACTGAGAGCAGGATCTCTCAAGAAGATCTTAGTATCCGGGCTGGTTCATAGGGGGAAGAAGTGTTTGGACAGGTAAGCTGGGCAGAACCATTTAGGGCTTTATTGGCTAAAGCCGCACTTTGAATTGTGCTTGGAAGCAAATTGGCCGCCAATGGAGCTGATGCAGCAGGGGAGTTGTGTGTTCCCTGTAAATACCCCCTTACATCTAATTATTTGTAGCATGAGAATTAGTTAAGATACGCCTCACTTGGGGCTGTGCCTGCCCTCTTCCTGGATTTAGGGCTTCCTGAACTTGGGTCCCCAAAGAAGTGACTGCTACTCTCACAACCTAAATGGTTAGGGATGATAGCTGTGGTATAATATGTCAAGACCCAAAGGTAGGAATCACTCTTTTAGAGACTGGATGATTTGGTGAGGAATTTGTGCACCAGGAGACTGGTACAGCTCGTGTGTCCACTCTTCAAAAGCAAGTGCTGCATGGAAGCCCACCAATTTACCCCGCTTTAGTGAGGGAACAAAACTGGAATTTCTTGAGTAGAGAAAGGCTCCTCCGATTGCCATGACAAGTCCTGAAGCTATGCCTGCCTGCCTGAGTTGCATGTGGGGGCATGAAACCTGCACCTCAGAAAAACACATTCATTGTTCTGCCACACCCTCGCTGGTAAGTTCTCAGCCCAAAGGCACAAAATGTGCCTTTTGATCAGCTTCACACACACTCTCTTTCTTGCTCAGACTACTGCAGGCAACTTATGAGAGTGACAGGCACGTGTGAGGCATTGCAATCCTGAAACCCAAAAGGCCAGAGATAATAGCCTTACAAGAAAAACAGAGACATTCCAGAAGTCAGCCTGGCTGACATTTGCATAAGAAGACCGGGCAAAAGATCTCCCTTCTACTAATCAAGCAGCTCACCACAGGATTCAGAAAAATCACTTAAATGTCCCAAGATCCACAAGCCAGCAAAATGTTAAATTTCCAAGACCTAGTTCTAGGGCATAGCAGCTTACCTTTTCTGATGTCACTGAGGTGCAGAGGCATCTATCTGTGACTCAGAAATAAAGATGTTTGTACTGTTTTTCTCCCTGATTTTTCTCTGCTGGGTGTATACACTAGCTTTCTCTACTAGGCGCCCTCTGATGTGTTGGGATAGAAGTCCCATCATGCCCATCCTGGCTGGCAGAGGTTGGGAGCTGGAGTTCCACTGATTAGTCAGGTTACAGACACCAACTCTGCATTACCTTCCATCACTATTTTGGAAGGAGGTTGAGATTGGTTCCTCTTGGTTTTAAAGATATGCTAGAACAAGCATCCTATCCACAGGGCACACATTTCAAGATCTGCCATGGATTACTGAAACTCTATATTTTGACTCAAGTCAGAAGCATAGCAAACTGTAGCACTGGAGGACCTAGTCCTTCTCTAGGTCCTACAGTACTATTCGATGGTTTGCTATGGTATGCTGGGGGATCTAGGGGGGAGGGATATTTTTTGGAGCGTGTGTAAGTAAAACCATGGATATTAAATCCAGAGATAGTGGGGTTGTACTGTAATACAAGGGGTAAAACACAGTAAAAATCCCAGTAGCCTACTATCCCTTGTAAGATACCACCGCAAAGAGGATCCCATCCTAGAATCCATCAGCGAGCTCCATTTCCATACTGAGCGGTGTAGCAGTCTTATCTATGAATGCTTCATGATCTCAGAGCTTTGGTCTCAGTTACCTGCAGTGGCGCTGCAGGTGTATGCCCAGGCCTCAGGGAGCAAGTGCAGGAACACATTTCCCAGGAGCCCCCCAATAGCAAAGCTCAAGAGTTGCTTCAGTCGACGGGATCCCTCTGAAAGAAAATCAGGCAGTCAACGCAGAGCTCTGGTTAGGTCACTTCAGGAACATTCATGTGCATATACCCCACCCCTGTACACACAGGACCAGTACACAGGATTTCACTTACCCATGTCTGAAAAGTCTCTCTAGGAATTTTCTAGTTCTTTCAGGTGATTCTATGGTATGTTTCAGCCAGAAGTTACCACAGACCTGCCCTAGAGGACCTAGCAAATTCCTAGAGAGGATAGTTGTCTGGGAATGTTTGTAGGTCACATGTGTCAAACTCAAGGCCCATGGTCCAAATCCGGCCTGCCATGTCATTTTATATAGCCCTTCAGATGCTAGACTACAATCCCGGAATCCATTATTAAACATCGTGACTAGGGCTGAGTAGGAGTTGTGATACAATGACATCTAAAACAATAGTATGGTTTGAATTTAGAAACAGTGCTTGTGGGTATGACTTTATAACGTCCTTGAACCTTTTCTCAACCTCCGAGCCACAAGTGCTGTTGAACTGCAATTCCCATCATCCCCAGGCCACATGGCAGATAATCAAGAGTGATGGGAGTTGTCATTCACTAACACACGGGGACCCAAATTGGGGAAAAAACTAAAGAGCACCAACTGCTATGTAAAAAAAATATATGGTTGGCTCTCTGTATCCACAGATTCTCCATCCATGGATTCCAGAGCCCCTTGAAGGCAACTGATGTGGTCCTCAATGAAAATGTGTCTGATATCCCCATTCTTGGTCCTCTGGGGCTACTCTATGGTAAACATCTCGCAGAAGCTGTTCACTTCAACAGGGTTCATTTTCCCCATAGTTTCCTGTTTCCACTGTAAGTTCAGGAATGTATCACCCATGGATATGAAGGTGGTACTGTATTTACCGTTCCCAACATTCACTGGCTGAGAAGATTGTTTGGAAAAGTGAAGCAGGGTTATCAGGCATGCTAGAGAAAGGAACTGACATACCTTCCGACTTCAGAGCTGCTCCGGTCTCCAGAGGAATGATCAACAGAGGAAAAACTCCACTCAGTCCAACCATAACTGAACCAATCAGTGAACAGATCCAGGCATCCAGGCGGTCTTCACTGAATATGGCTTCCCAGGACTCAGCTTCCTTCTCACACAAGGGGAGTTCATGGGCCAGGCAGGAGACAGTAAGCAATAAGATGGAGAGGACTCCATGGATGAAAAAACCCTCACCCATTGTTGCTATGCAGCCTCAGCCTGGCTGGTAAATCCCTGAAATGCAAAAAAGGAAGGAAAGAAAGGTCACACAAGTCTGTGTCTAAAACCTTTTAGCACTTCTCATCCACCTCATTGTCATCCACACTAAAAAAAAAAAAATCTCAGGCTTATCAAGGAATTTATTTATTCCCCTGATTCAATCTTTCCTTCAAAAATAAAAAAGAAAGAAAGAAAGAAAGAAAGAAAGAAAACTTAAAAGGGAAATAAGGATGACTTATACTATTATTTATTTTTCTGAAACAGGGAACTTTTACCATGAGATGAAAAGTCACTGCAATCTCTGGGTATCTTCCCATTCTGTACAGATCTCAATGGTACAAAAGAATGATATTATGGAATAAAGGAGAGGCAGCATGGTTCAAGGGTTGGATTATAACATTGGCAGTTAGGGTTTGAAGTTCTGCTTGGCATGGAAAACCATTGGGTAACTTTGGGCAAGTTATGATTTCTCAGACTCAGAGGAAAGCAAAGGCAAACTTCATCTGTAAACAAAATCATGCCAGGAAAACCCACTGATAAATTCGCCTTGAGGGTCACCATAAATTGGAAATGACATGAAAGCACACAACAACTACAACCAGCTACTACTACCATATATCTCCCTTGATAGCTATTTTTCTGTGATGAGCCTTACTTTCATAACGCTAGCGTTGTGTGCATGGAGTCTAGTCCTAGAAGAAGACACTTATATCTACAAATAGGGAGTGAGTTGGTGTGAAAAACTCAGTTCTTCTTTAGAAGAAGGAATTGTTTTTGTGGAGTGACTTGCAAGTCTATTTAAAGTTTAGACCATAAAAAATTCCAACAGCACACAGTTCTTCTACTTATGCCAAACAAAGACAGGGACAAATTCAAAGAGCCCTCCTAGCAAGTTACCAAGCACCTGTTCTCATGACTAAGATGAAGTGCTCACCTGTCCAGCATGAGCACGCACTACAGAACAGCTATAAAGGATCAATCAGACATTTTCTTTGCCACAAGTGCTATTGCTATTATTATTATGATTATGATTATGAGTATTATTTTATTTTTTATTATTACTATTACCACAAGATTGTCAGCCTGGTTAGAAATTCCTCTAAAGGGCCATAGTAAACCAGGCCAGAGCCAATGATTTTTGCAAGTCACAAAAGGCACATCAGAGCACCAGGTAAAGGAAAACAAATAGACTCACACCTACGCTGAACCACAAACCACAGGTGAAGCTGTGTCAGTTATCTTTCAAACTAATTTCATTTCATAGAATTCCTGGGAAGATAAGAACTGGAGGAGAAAGAGTAAGTCACCTTGAACTTCTTAGCCAAAAAACAGGATAAAAATAATAAATTTAATCTGATGCTAAGCACTATGGGCTGAGATACAACCGCTATATGAATTTGTCCCTGGCTTTGCTGAGCGGCAGAGGCAGCCAGAGGGTGAGAACTCTACTTTAGAACTTCTGACTGGGGCCAGCCTCACCAAACATACTGGCCGTGGCCCCCACACCTGTGCAATCTCACCTGAAGCCAGCAGCAGATAAAACAGCCATCTCTGGCTTTCTATCACACCGTCTTGCAGACGTGCAGCAGGTGGTGTATGTACTAGAGCCTTACCATCATCACTTTTGCTAGAGTTTTTGGGGTTTGGGGACTTTTACCATCGCCTTTACAAAGGCTTTTTTGAGCCTTGGGGGGTCTTTTGGGGTTTAGGGTGGATTGAGCTATTTTAGTCTGGGTCTGGGTGGATGAGGCAAGGCCTGTGGATGAGACAAGCTTGAAGCTCTGAGTTTATGTGCAATCCAACTATGATAAACCAATCAAGAAGATCTGGCACTCTAGGACTTTTACCAACACAGATAAAGACATCTCACCATCACGAGAAAAAGAAACACTCAATGTGCCTCCCCAAGGACTTCATGCCACAGCTTATACCCCCCATGAAGACATGGGCTGCATTCCTGTGCCTAAACAGTATCCAGAGCTCTCCTTAATTGTGGAGATCTGGGATTCTTTGGGATGGCACAAAGAATGGGGATGGATGTTATGGGGAGGGAATCGGGATGTGGGGAGGGGAGGGGGGTGGTAGCTAGACCCATATAGGTCCTTTTTAACTTTCCAAATTGTGCAATATAATAATTTTAATTTGGCCAGCACCTTAAGCACTCTGACTCAGACACTATTTCAGCCCTGTTGACTTGTAAATGCCTGTTTGCTACTATTAGATGTATTAGTAAACATGTCCTAAATGTTTGATTTATATATTTAAATTTCTAATTTTGTTGTTTCTGAGTTCTATAAGTATACCTGATGTTATTTGTTTTATTGTTTATGGTTTGATCTGTTGTTAGGTTATGCCGGCATTGAATGTTTGCCAATTTTCTGTTGCCCCTGAGTCCCTGGGGGAGATAGGGCGGTATAGAAAAAATATTATTATTATTATTATTATTATTATTATTATTATTATTATTATTTGTCATTGCGAGGACGGTAACTTACCGCCCAATGCTTTTTCCTCCAGTCAGGACTTACCAAGTTCCTCCCTTCCTGCCTATGGCAGAAACACAGCAGATGCCACCAGACTGATGGAAGTCGTAGTCTACTAAATGTAGGGCATGATACATTTTCAGCAATTACATGAACAGAACTGACAACCATTTTGCTTGTCATCCCAAGAATGTCAGCCCTGATATCTAAATACCTTTTGGCAAAGGAAAAATGTTAAATCCTGTTACTCGTCCAAAGTAGAACAGACAGATTCAATAAACTACTGAATGGTACATCGTTTATACTTGTTTCACAGATTCATTGTGTCTACTCTGGCTGAGACTAATTTAGTCCTTAATTTTCAGGTGGGGCAACATTTATGAGGACTTAGTAGTTGACTGTGATTGCCCAAAGGTCACAAAACCAACTGGATCTTTCAACAAAGAAGCCACCCATGTGGGATTGTGCTAATCCCTAAAAGCAACAAGAATTCTTTTTTCCATCTTTTATCTCTTCCCTATCATGCTCAGCTTCTCCACCCCACTCTAACGCAAAAACAACATTTTTAAACAACAGAAATACAAAAATGAGTACTTCTTATTCATATTGTGAGGTCTATGGTGTATAATTCCATCTGTATGTGACCTTAAAATGCTTTCTAAGGTCTCAGTCTGGGAACATATGCAATCCGGGTCTTCCCAAGCATAGCCTGAATAGGACATTTGGATACTGCAGGCACCCGTTCAGCACACATGATCTCCATGGGCCACAAGTACCTGGCATTCAGAGTTGATCTGCTCTATGGGCCAAAGCCCAGACTGCCAAAAGTTGTTGCTTCTACACATCTCTGTGCTACTCAGAGGAAACTTTTTCTTCCCAGGGACTGTTGCCTTGACACACACTCATATATACTACTGGTTCAGCAGTAAAATGGAACAGGGAAGTGCTATTTTTATCTACCAACACTCTGACGGATTTCTCCTCAAGAAGATGGCTATTTATAAAAGGATTCAACAAATTCATAGTGGACAAGATTGACACAATAAAAACAAAACACCCACTTTCAAAAGTAGTATCTCCAACAACCAGGGACAAACACTAGAGAATTATTCTTTCTAGTCTTAGAGTTATCCCAAAAACACCTGATATGGCCATAGTACAACAGAGCACCAATGGGTCAAAGACAGCAAAATAATTCTTATGTTATCTGAATAATGGAAGCTCCTAAGTCAAGTCTTCCCCAACCCATTACCCTCCAGATGTGTTAAGATATGTCCTACCCAACAAGCATGGCCATAGGAACAAAGGATGAAAAAATAGGCCACTCAATGGTTCCATTGTTTATGAAGAAGAGAAATATGGAATAATTTGTCACTGGGGCTAGGTGATTAATACAGGAGCATTTCTAAGGAGCTCAAGTTAAGGGTGGAAATGTAGAGGAGCACTCATTCAAATCAACAGTCCCTCTTCTCACTTTTTGGAATTTTTTTCCTTTCTAACATTCTTTTTTTTAAAGTAATGGGTACAGCATTACCCATTACGTCTTTGTAATGGGTAATGCTGCATCCGCAGCAGGTACCCTAGCCCTTAATTATGCAGATACCAGTTAAGATTTTATGAATGTACATTCATCTATTCGTCATAATATCATGAAGAGAGGACTCGTCTACCGCTCATGGTCAGGCCCCATGGACAGAGCTTTTGTGGCCCCCCACAGACTAAAATCAAAGGAGTCATCCAATCAATTTGTATTCATGTTGTTATTGTGTGCCTTCAAGCCATCTTAAGCTGATGGTGACTCTGTCTATTGGTTCTCTTGGAAATATTTAATCAGAGGGGGTTTGCTGATGTCTTCCTCTTAGGCTGAGAATGTGATTTTCCTGGAATCTGAGTGGACACTCATTTCCCAGAGTCCTAGCCCAACACTCAAACAACTACATCATTCTGGCTCCACCTATATCACAGGCCTCACAACACTGCCATATAATCCAATTTCTGAATCCAGATTATCTAGATTATATGGCAGTGTAGACTCTTATAATCCACTTCAAAGCAGATAATCTGGATTCAGAACCTGGATTACATGGCAGTGTAGATCCAGCCACATAAGCAAGTGGGATATAGAAAAAAGTGGTAAACCATGAGAAATCTCCCCATGCAAATCAAACATGGCTTTTATGCAGGAACCTAATCAGAGAGAACTGGCCTTGTGACTCTTTCTAGTTCCCAGGGCGAAGCTTGTGGTCATGACCCAGAGGATGAAGCAACTTGAGTCAGAGCACATTCCATGCTGGTGCATTAGTCAAAATCATCTCATGGTTTGTTGGAAAACAGCTGTGTTCCCTGAAGGCATCTTGCCCAAACTGTGAGCAGTTACTGCAATACAGCTTGGAGTATGAATGATATAACTAAGATTTCTCCAGGCCAAAAAGAAGAGGGTAGTGAGGGGTGGGGTGGGGGTGGAGAGAAAAGGCAACCCAAGCAAAAAATATCTTCAGATTTTTCAGATGGTAGACCAGTGACTTGAGCTGT